TAGAATAACAGAAAATTTGAATCAAATTTTATAAATAAATAAGCAAATTTTAATGAAAACCTATGCTGACGCTGTATTACTTTTTCTTTGTAGTAAAATACTGAGGCCAGCGTTAAATTTTAAAAATACCCATTCTTTAAATTTTAAAAATACAAAAAAACATAAAGTATATTTAGCAAAGTATATATTTAGCAAATTTTCAACTGTAAACAAATGCACGTGTAAATATTCGCCCTCTCATTCGTCAAGAGGCTACTAAATATAATTTATCGCTTTAAGCCAGACGGATTTTCATTTTATAGGTTCAAACTTCTCAGTCTATTTAAATTCAAATTGTAGCGTGTTGGTTTTTAAGTTAATATATTGTGTGTTATATGTTATAGTAAGGGTTTAAGTTATTTACTGGTCATGTTATTTTTTAGAGTTTAGTTTAAGTGTTTCGTATAAAGTTTTATAGTGTGTAGTGAACTTTTAGTATCCAAAAACAAAGTATTTGTTGATCAAAAGGAAAAATAGCTTGCAGTTATCACTTTAATAATTGTGATATTGTGCCAATGTGTGCTTTTGCCGTAGGGGTGAATTTCACCCCTTCTCGGGTGTAAAAGAACATGCGTTCAAAATAAGTCCAGAATTATATAATTTGATTAATATAACATAACATAATCTTAGCAAAAATATAGCTTATAAAAAAGTTAAAAAAAATTAAGTACTTATACCTATATGAAGTCTGTACAGTCAGTAAAAGCACAGCTGTAGCTAATGAAAAGAAATTCAAATTTCAAATTAAATATTTCAACGAGAAATATAAAAAAAATTAAGCACTTTTCGGGGAAAACTCGCTGTTGGAGAAAGTGCTTATTTTTTTATATTCACTCACAAATAACTTGAAAAGTATTGACTCAGTGAACAAAACTCTATAGAACAAATGCTGCTTTGAATTATTCAGTTTATCCAATTCCTGTTACATGTTACATATTAGCTATGTTTATGCCAAATGTCATGTCGATCCAAGCTGTTCTTTGGGGAGGTTTTATTATGAGTCAATGAAATATTTTTGAACTTGAAAAAGAATACAGAATGCAGTTTCATATCATTACCGATATTTTTAATAATGCTGGTTTTATTACAATACATATTATTTTTCCTTAGACTATTTTGATATTCTATCAATCAACTAAGTGCATTAAGTTATTGGAGATAAATAGAATAATAAAATTGTCAAGCACTGATACAGCCGATGAACTCCATGATATTGATTTAACCCTCACTCCACATAAAAAAGATCGGTAAAGGGACATTTTGACGGTAAAATGAAGGAAATGATTATAAATGTATGTAAAACGGAAATGTAGAAGAACCTTACAATGTCGAAAAGTGCGATTTCTATTTTTATTTTAGAGAAGAAATAAGAAGAATAATTCATCAATTCTTTTGTCAAAATGAAATAACAACAATAGACAAAGTTCTGATGGTTAAAGATCCGGTTGTGCATAACTTCATAGGAACTAGGTTTTTTTTTTAATTATTAAAACAAATAAATTTTAAGTTTTAATTTTAAGTTTTAACATCGTCGTCAGCGAAACAGCATTTTGATGGACAGGGACGAAATTGTCATATGGGAACGAGAATTTCTGATAAAAATTAAGTCCTTCTTAAATAAAAACTGCAAAATTAACTACTTAGATAATTCGGTAACGTCTTATAAACAAACGGTTTTAGATTGACTTTCTACGGGTTTAAAAAATCCTATAGGAAAATGTTTATGTGCTTTTACACGTCAAGTAAATTTTAAAATAATAAAATTTTTAAAAAAAGCAAAAGACTAATAATCTGTCATATTGGCAGTGAAGATGGGTTTGTTCCACAAGGGCTGTGGGTGTTTGAATAAAAAAAAGTGGGGACTACCATGAAGAGATGAAGGGGAAATCTTACGAAAATTGGTTTAAAAATATACTGCTTCGATTAGAAGACAACTCCATTATCGTATTGGACAACGCTTCTTATCATTCCAGAAACTTTGTAAAAAATTCTAACTACTGCTTCTAGTAAAGCTGATATCCAAACATGGTTAAAATAAAAAATATAGGGTTTGTGGACTCCATGTTAAAAGTGCAACTGCTGGCTATCGTTAAGGAACATAAGGGATAATATAATAAATATATCATTGATGAGATGGCAGAAAGCCACAATAGAGTACTGTTAAGACTGCCCCTATACCATTGTGAGCTTAATGCGATTAAGCTCATCTGGGGAGAAGTAAAAAATTATGCAGCAGCAAAAAACAATACTTTTAAATTTGCAGATATAAAAAATATTTTTTATGATGCAATAAATAATATTAGTCCAAGTACGTGGCAGAAATATGTGCAACATGTTAAACGAAAAGTCGAGTTCAAAAGCTCATCTGGGCAGAAGTAAAAAATTATGCAGCAGCAAAAAACAATACTTTTAAATTTGCAGATATAAAAAATATTTTTTATGATGCAATAAATAATATTAGTCCAAGTACGTGGCAGAAATATGTGCAACATGTTAAACGAAAAGTCGAGTTCAAAATATGGAAGTTGATCAATATAAAAGAGAACCATATCGAACCCAGACTCAGAGAACCTCAGACTCAAAGTAATTTAAATCGTATGTTTTTATGCTTTGATAAACTTATGATGATGCTACTTTATTCAAAATGTTCACTTTGTTATGTATCTCTCATTTAGTGAATATTTTATTTTAGCAAATTTTTCTTTGATGGAACATTAAATTTTGCTCATAATGATAAATTTCAAAAAATTCTTACACTAATAGTTTCAATAGTAAATATTTTTAAAAATTATATGATACATCTCAGTAAGACCCTGAATTTGTAAAATGAACGTAGTTTAGTGTGAAGCTTCGCGCCAGTCTATATAGTATTCCTTCCTGTACCACTTTTTTTTTTCACTTAATATGATTTAACCAAGAGTTTCTTACATTAACATTAACAAATATTTTTTTATTTGTTAAAAAATACTTATTTTTTAGATATTTAGAAGTCAGGTCTATATACCATTCATTACCGTATGTGGTCGCATACATGTCAACTTCTACGTTATGGTCCTCAAGTTTAATTGAAGTAATATTTGGAATAATTTATATTAAAACGAAAAACCGTACTATAAAACCAAATACGGTAATAAATTTACATAATCTATTATTATGGACAATTGTTATCTTAAATATTGTATTTTTATGGGATTTAACAAAAATTGTTTATAATAAAAGTTACATTTTAAATTTGTAGGTTTCGATCTCCAATCTGGAAATGCTTTTTAAATTATATTTAAAATTACAAGTTATTTTAACCTGTAATTGTTTACTAATCGCAGCTTTATTTCAGCCAATTTGACAGATGACCTGGCCTGAATTTTGTCATAGTCATGACTTAAATTTAAGTTCTGTGAGTGATGTTCTACAGTCGAATTAAAATCAAATTCTGAATTTTGCCGGTTTATTTAGTTAATTGTAAATGTAAATATATGACTTTCTATTAATCCATTACTGCGCGTCTATTCTTGTTTCTGACTTTTTCTCTTATTATTGGTAACCAGAGTTTGCTATATTCTGTTGATGGAAAAATAAGGGCCAGTTATTTAATTTTTCTCTTTTTTCATTCTGTTTATTTCATGACTATTGATGAATTTTGCATTGGACTCTGTGCTCATTGTTTCAAAAATGTTTGCATATCTGGGATTTGTGGAAGTCTCTATGTTTTTGATTGTTAATGCTCTCTCATTAATGCTCGTTTTTTCTAACGCTTAGTGGTCTTGAGGTTTGAGTAGTGGTGTGCTGTTTGGTATGGCTTTAAAGAGAATAGATCTCTGTATTGGGTATTTTGAATGTTGTTGAGTTTGTTTTATCTTAGCCTTATTATTTTTCTAATAAGCCCTTTAAGTATGATATTATTGTCAGTCTAAGTCCCTGTGTGTTAAGTTAATGTGAGCTTTTTTGTTATTACCATGGTTAGCAGGTTTTTTCAGTTGTACGTCTCTAGTTCAAGCTTTAGAGTCAAAATATGGCCAGTAGCATCTAAAATAGGTTTTCGTTACTCAGCTGAAAGTTCGATATCAAAAGAATAACGAAAGCTTGCAAAAATATAAAGCCAATTTTAAAAGATTATTGCATTTGGCATAGCCTCAGGCATCTGAAGATTTTCTGGAACAAATTGCTATACAGGCCTGTAACCGCAGATAACTAACAACCTATTTTATCCCAATATTTAAGCATACTGTACAATCTTTAACAAAAATTCTCAAAATTAAAACAAAAAATGTTTTATTTGCGGAAGAATACGGCATTTGTAAAATAATTGCAGAAGTCGATCCCAGGCAAGAACAGGAGAACGAAATAATAAGGGCAAAAGGTCGCTGAGATCAACATTTAGAAGCTCGTTACATAGTCCCAATAGAATAATAGTAAATATGGGTCTCTAAAAAAATTGATTTCCCATGCGTGACCACAGAAGTAAAAAGGTACTCTGGATCTAAAGTTGCAAGTTTACAGTTGCAACTGCCGACTAGTAGAAGTAAAATAAAAAAGTTAAAATAACTGTTGTCAATTTTTTAAAATAAACATTAACAAGAATGCCAAGATACTTTGAGTAAATTACAGGTTCGTTAAAAACAAAGAGATTAAATCTCCGGAGGACCACAGTTACAGGAAACAGGCCACTATTAGACTTAACTATTAGACTATTTAACTTGTAAAAATTAGACTGAAGATAAAGCAATTAATAAATTAATAAATAAATTACAATAAAATAATTATTTAAATATAAATTAATAGAGATGTGACGTTTATAACGTTACAATCTGTAAAAAATGTATATTGAACTAAATGTAGGTTTTCAGTATTTCATTAATGGTATGTGTTATCTTAAAAATGTACTAACTTGGATTGTTTTTATTTTGTTCTTTATTTGAGTATTCCGAATCATCTTAATAAGCTTATTTGTTGGGTGGTATAAACTAAGGATCAGAATTATCTTTAAGCTCTTCTGAATTTTCATGTTGGCAAATAATCTGATCTGTAAGTTTTATCAAAGATGAGATATAATATATCTCATCTTTATGATCTTTATCTGATTCGTTTTCCGCTTGAGCCACTTCTTGAGCTTGCGTGGATTCATGATAAGTTTCATCTACAAGTTTGTTTTCTTGTTCTGGCAAATAATATACTTTTTGAGACAAATCATTATCAAAGGGTTCTTGAAAAAAGCGATATTCGTTAACAACTTCCAATTAATAAGGCACAGGGTACATAATTTCATTAACATTTATATCTGAACTGATTAAATTGGTTTTAATGATGTTCGTTTCTTGATTTAAAGCCATTGCCATTATTTTTTCTACTCTGCTAGAGATCTGGAAAAAAATAACATGTATAAATAAAATGCTAAAATACACCACCGGTCATCAATAAAGCACTCATTAGTTTGTAAAATCGTTTATTTTTTACTACTTTTTGCGAGTACGAAAAGGTAGATAGAATGATACTGTGAATAATTATGCACCAACAATAGATCTAACTGCTCTAATGCTATATCACTCAGGACACCAATTTGAGATTTACGTCATAATAAACAGTCGGATGGTTTTAGCAATATGTCGTATCCAACATATAATTTGAAATTACAAAGTGGCGTATATAACATCATTCTTTCAAAAACAAATATTTTTACTATAATATTACATTGTAAATAAATTAACACGCTTAAAGAAAATAATATACAGCAAAATGTAACTTACCTTCGACATCTTGAAAAAACAAACACCTTAAATGCAGTTTTTGATTACTCTAATGCAACACCCTGTAACTGTCAATACTCACGTTATGAAATCACAGGAGCGACTGTGGTATTCGCTCCGTGTATAACCATGATAGGGGTATCTTGAAACGATGCCAACGTGCGTAGCGGCGAAATATGACAAAATTGGACCTATCATTTTACGCATAAATTTGATCAGAAATGGGTGAAAATACATGTTGCGTATTTAATTGTGCCAATAATAGCAAAATAAGTGAGTGTAGTTTTAATAGGTTTCCAAAGATAACTTTTAAATTAGAGAAAAGAAAAAGATATATTCGTGCTATTAATATGAAAAAGTAAAGGTCAAATAATTTCATTTTTATGCAATTGAAATAGAAAAAAATTAAATAATTTACCTAAAAAGATATTTATCATAAGACTTCAAGATAACTGCAGCCTGTTTGATGACTTTAGCTTTTATATCACAACTTTTACTATTATTGTTTTTAATTGTATGCTCTTCCACCTGAAAAACTTAATTTAACAGTAGTAGATTTTTCGGTTTCTTTTCCGTTTGGGATTGAAAAGATTGTGATGAATGATTAAGAAGAATTATGCTGAATTTTTAGAAACCCAGTTTTTAATACTACATTTAATTTATGCATATACTGAAAAAATATAATTAAAGAACTAATTATTAATAATGGTCAATTTCGTATGTATTTAAGATATGTTTAACCTCAAAGTGGGAGGTCCGAAATTGTCAGATGAAGACATATTAAAAATGTCGAAAAATAAAAATAAGCCGGTTTGTTAAGTTGGACCTCAGCGGTTCAACAGTACAGACGTGCAGCGAAGAGCGTAGCGACGAGCAGCGAAGCGTGCTTTGGTGGGGGCAATCGACCTGAACGCAACGGAGCTTGTTAGCTCCGGGTGAGTAAGACACCCAGTTTGCACAGGCCTTTGTCCTTCAACAAAGTGAAAAGCGGATGCGGGGCTATTTTTAAGTTAAACCGCCGAGGGGTTGCCTTTATAGGCTCCTCGCGGAGGCTTTTAATAGCTTCGTGTCAGCGAAAAATACGGGTTCATCTCAGTGGGTCGACAGGTATGACACTGTAAGGCCTAGTTTTGAAATCTAGGTCGGACAGAAACGGCCCCTGCCTCTGAGGTGAGAGAAACTTGAAAAGGATCCCTCCCTGAGAAATCAGGGAGAGAACTACCGAGAGGTTGCTGGGACGACACCCAGGAAAACCGTCAGGCAGCGGCCAGGCGGAAAGACAAAAACAGAGTCTTCAGAGTAGCAAACTCAATATAGTCTTTTGAACACTTATGTTCACTGCCTTACGGCATTATGAGTGATCCCTCTCCCCAAAAAAGTGATGTCACGCAGGTGACATCACAAGAAAAAGATGATGATGACAATTCCAAGTCACCCACCCCGTCAGTTACATCTGCAATTAAATTATATAATGAATTTACTTCAAATTTAAAACCCGAATCCGCGTTAATCGTAGAGACTTCAGACGACGAATCGTTCATCCCGGACGAAGAAGATGCCGAAGAGGACGAAAGCGAGGTGGAAACAGACGACAGCGTCTCGATCACCATGGAAGTTACCCTCGACGAAGAGCTGAGCCCGGCCACCGAGTCGATTGTAGCCCCGCCCCCAACAAACGATGAAATAGCCCCCATAGTGGACATCATCTCCACCGCAACTAATGCCGAGCCGGAGGTAGGTAGGAAGAAAAAACGGCAAAGGCCAACCGCAGACTCCTCAGAAGACGAGGAAGAAAGAAAAAGAACAAAGGAAAAAGACGAAAATGAGCTCTATAAGTCGGTAGATCTACTGACCGAACAGATTAGACTGCTCAAAGAAGAGAGCCGTCAAAGGGAAAAACAAGCAAATGCCCAAATACAAGACCTCCTAACTCAGATGACTGAGTTACGGAAAGAACACAAGGCAAAGGACGAAGAAATCAAGAAGCTGGTCGGCCATATAATGGCTCTGACCGAAAGAAATGAAAGGAAAGAGCTAGAAGAAAAGAGAAGAGACGAAGTCATCTGGGAAATAACCAGACCAGGAAGCCCACCCTGGATGGGAATCGCCGCCCCTTCTACGTCTGGTTGCGGAGGAAAGCCAAAAGAACAGAAGGTAATACAAGAAAAAGAAAAAAGCGAAGCAGGATGGACAAAAGTCCAAAAAAAGGAAAAAACAAAAGGCACCGCTACTGAGAAATCAGTCAACAGTAGCGAGAAACCGAAAAAGGCACTGAGTATTGTTGAGAAACAAACTCAGAAAATCAACGAAAGAAAAGATGAAGCGCTCACAAAAGCTGCTAAAGAAATACAAAAAAGAAGTGAGCAGAAAAAAGCCCAGAAAAACTTGGAGGTACCGAAAGAACCCCAAGTTGATAAAGAAAACGTCGTTGACCCTCAGATACCTGCAGAGGTTAACGTTAAGAGACCTAAACCTCCTGCGATCATCTTAAAGACGGTCGCAGAACATCAAGCGATCCTGCAAAAAGCAGCAAAGAAAGGTATCGTTTCTGACAATAAGTTTGCCAGATCTGGCAGATCTATTGTCATTAACACCAAAACTAGGGAAGATTATCTAGGAGTAGTCAAAATACTTGAAGAACACACCCCGAAGGTAGAGTACGTTGCCTACCCGATAGACAGCGACAAATTAAAGAGGGTAATCCTAAAAGGGCTAGCGGCGAGCACAAGCACCGAACTTATTCTTAATGAATTAAGAAATAAAGATGTCGACGTAACTAGAGTCAGTAACATGTACTCTAAAAAAGAGGGAAAACCAATACTGCCTTTCTTTATGATCACCCTCAAAGAGGATGACATACAAAAAATACGCAAAATAACAAACTTGTGCTACATGAAGATTCGTTTCGAAGACGAAATCAAGACCACAAAAGATACCCTACAGTGTTTCAACTGCCAGGGTTATTACCACAGTTCAAAGGCTTGCCACTGCGACTCCAGATGTGTAAGGTGTGGTGAAAACCATCTCAGCAATGAGTGCGGAAAAAGCAAAGAAACGGCTCCAAAATGCGCCAACTGCGAACAGGCGCATACGGCCAATTACAGAGGATGCTCAAAAGCTCCTAAAAAGAAGACCCCTGCCCCCGTAAAACCGGCGGGAAGACCACTCAACCCAACAACAACGACCACGGGTTTCAGCTACGCACAAGCAGCCAAGAAAACCCCAGAACAAGCGGCCCCAACGATGCAAGACGCAGCCGCACTCATTGCCACATTCCAGACGGAATACAATAAGAAAATGATGGAGATGATGTCCGTGATGGATAGGGCCACAAAAATGATGACTGCATTCGGTGAAATAAATCGACAATGTTAGCGAACCATACGGAGGATCTACGCATAGGGTCCTGGAATTCCGGTGGAATTTTCCAAAAACTCAACCTTTTGGACGAAATGATAAATAGATTAGAGCTCGATATCGTAGCCCTTCAAGAAACGAAACTAGTGGAAAGGAAGAAAACCAAATTTCCAGGCTATGATATCTATAGAACTGACCATAGAGCAAGATCAGGAGGAACAGCCATACTAGTTAAAAAAGGCATAGAACATGAACACATCCCAACACCAGGTGGACTGGTCACAATGGAAGCCACGCTAGTAAGACTAAAGGCCAACAACGAAACACTAAAAATAGTGTCAGCTTATGTCAGACCTAACGAACTGATATTCGATGAAGATTTGAGCCTAATCCTCGACACAGAAGAGCCCACGGTAATCATAGGAGACCTTAATGCGAGATCTCCCAACTGGTTCGATAGAGCGACCAACAATAATGGGAGACGACTTTGCAGCCATCTCGAAAATAGACCAAACACCTACGTGATCGGACCAACAGAACCGACCTGTTTTCACGGACAACTCCCTACACATCTAGACATTGCAATCCTACACAACGTGGGTCAACAATACGAGATACGCTCTCTAAACGAAGGCGATTCGACGCACAATCTAATCGTTTTGACCCTGGGCGCAATAGAACTAAACTATTCGCAGCCCCACAAAAGAAAGATAACAAGTTGGCCAAACTTTAGAAGAATTGTGAGCGAAAACATCGGTAACATTCCAACAATAAACAACATCACAGAACTAGAAGACAGCGTAACCAAACTAGAAGAAACTATAATTAATGCTATCGATGCCAGCTCCAAAACCGAAACAATCACAAGACAAAAAGGAAGATTCGGAGATATAAGTCAGGATCTACAAGACTTAATTAAAGAAAAAAACAGAAAAAGAAGAAGAGCCTATCGTACTAGAACATTAGAAGATAAAAGGATTGCAAATGAGCTAGACAGGGAAGTTAAAAGACAACTACGAAATCACAGAAATGAAAGCTGGGACAACTATATCCAAGAATTAGACCCTAACAAATCCGCCTTCTGGAAATTATCGAAAATCCT